ATTGAATATGGGACATGAATAGGTTTGCAAAGACAGGGGACATCGGAGAAACCATACCTACTCCATTAGTTTCTTTGTATAGTTTTCCTCTAAACGTGAACTGTCGACTTAAAACAGAATATGAGTGCTTTCATGGTGAGGCTGGGGTTCAATGGAGATCTATCTGCCAACGTGTGATCACATTCTAGTAGTTCGCTTATGAACTCTAAACACTTTTCAGTGGGAATACTAGTATACAGTGAAAAATAATAACTTACCATTGTTTCATCCTCTGCAATAGATAATTTCGATATTCTTGAACTGAATTCATACGAGTCTTTAATTGAGCTAATAACAGAGCGTTGGAGAGGATTTAGTAATGATGCTAGATGTCAGTTGGTTGGAAGCAGTCGGCAGGAAGCCCTGGACCTAGGTTTTGTGCTTGTTGCCACTTGTCAGCAAGGCGTATATCTGCGACCTTGACGGAACTGATATCCCGCAAACAAGCACGAAAAGATCGAATTCTCAACTTGTGCTGCTTACATGATGCTATTATACCTAAATGTCTGTATGTTAAACAACTGGAACGCTCATAGTACTGTAGCTAAGCCCCACGCAGTATGTCACGCACCTCCTTCAGAGAGCGCGTACACAAATTTACCGTCAACTTGGAAACATATCGTGGACGCTTCAAGAATTTAGAAGACATAATTAAACTACATGATTAAACATAATTGAACTACATGGTGCAATCTTCATTACATTTGTGTATACGTTCTCTGAGGAAGATGCGTGACGTACTTCGTGCTGCTTGGGTAGAGTGCCATGAGCGTTTCAGCTGTTTAAGTACCCTGGAATGATTGAAGAATCTTTGCCGATATCAATCCAACCACACTTAGTTTCACGACGTTTTGCAGTGCAATCAGTCAGCTGAGTTTTTAGGTCAGTAAACGATGAAACTAGATTACGAAATACATTCGTGTCGTTTTTAATACGCACTATTATTTCACGTTCAACACTGTTTAAAATTTGGTAGAAGTCAACAATTTCTCATTAACTTTCTTAACTTTGTCCCCACTCGGTTATAACAAATTTGTGACTTCATTCTATAATTGTTAGGGTTGGCCAATCCCTAAGATAACCAACTTACATACTTTTATATTATCACTGCAATGTTTAAGCCTTATTTTCGCGCTCTTTTTGCGACGTATTGTTTCTTATTTTTACCGCAGTTTAGAACGCTGAAAGCTGACTGGTCCATTTAACGCTTTGAATAGGCTATTTTGTTTTCTCTGGCCAAGGCCATCTAAGGATATATAAACGACTGAGTTTTCACTTACTAGATTTCGGTTGGAGTGCATAGATTTTCAGTCTCATCGTCTACTTCTGATGTCAACAGATGAAGATTATCGAGTTTTTAAATCAGTCCAGAATTTCTGCACCCGAATCATCGAATCCTACGGCTGTTACATCAGACCCTTCAGTCGACGGAATTGCAACCAGTATCACAGAATTTCATTATGATCCTGATGCTAATGTGACTTTCGATACTTGGTTCCGAAGATATGAATACCACTTCATAGTTGATTTTGCTGGTCAAGATGATTCATGGAAAGTTTGTCTCCCTCTTCGAAAACTTGGTCCATACGAATTAGATTAGTAATGCAATACAATACTGCCACAGAACCCAGGAGACCGCTTCTTTGATGCTACAACACATACCCTAAGACAACATTTTGGCGATCATTCGTCTCTTTTCAATGCCGGATATCATTGTCTTAAACTGGCCATGAACGAGAACGGTGATTTTCTCACCCATGTTTGTATTGTTAATCGCGAATGCGAAACATTCAGGCTGAAGTCCATCACTGATGACCAATTCAAATCTTTGATACTCATATGCAGCCTTCAATCGCTTAAGTTCGCAGATATTAGAATGAGACTTCTAAATCGGTCGGAACAAGAAGCAACACTGACGTTGAATGATACTACTGCTGAGTTTAAAGGACTGGTGAACCTGCAACGGGATACAAGTTTAGTCCTATCCGGACACCAGGGTGATCATGAAGTGCATGCGGTGCACCAAAAGTCTAATTCCTCTGCATCCTTTTCTGGCCATAAGACCCCTGCTTCTTCATCTCCGGTTGGTCATCCCAACAGCTCCTACAATACCAAAAGAAGCACGAAGACCCCTCCGTCCCACTGCTGGCATTGCGGAGCATGGCATTTCGTTAAATCTTGCCCTTATAAACAGAATAAATGCGGAGATTGTAATACTGCGGGTCACAAGGAGGGATTTTGCAAGCAGCCACCATCGCAAAGAACGGGCAGGTCACCATCCAGTCACCGTCGAAGTCTCGACCAGTCGGCAAATCTCTTAGTCTTACTGCTGCTTTTCAAGCACATGCACCAGCACGGAGAAAATATATCACCGTCCAGATAAATAACAATTCAGTACGTTTACAAATCGACACAGCTTCCGATATAACGATTATTTCCAAGAAGCTATGGTGGAAGATTGGCCGATCCTCTGTCCAGAAGACTGTACAAACTGATATTAGCGCATGCGGTGGCCGATTATCACTAACAGGTCAGTTATCACAGTACTTCGAAAAATGGAGTATTTTTATCGATCTGACGCTCAGTGAAACCTCCCGGATCTCGATTGGTTTGAAAAGCTTGGTCTCTCGGATATGCATCTACGTGCTGTTTGCAGTCAGATTAAGCATCCGCTGACAATCGCTGATATAAGCCAACGTTTTCCAAATGTATTCAAAACTGGTCTTGGTCGTTGCACAGTCTCTCAAGCATTTCTTTGCCTTCGGGACGACGCCAAACTTATTTCCCGGCCCAAGAGACCTGTGTCTTATGCATCATTACCACAAATCGACGCAGAAATCTCCCGTCTAAAAGAACAAGGTGTTCCCATACCAGTTTCTTACTCTGCATGGGCGGCTCCTATTGTGGTTGTCAGAAAGCCAAATGGCTCTGTTCGCATAAGTGCAGATTTTTCTACGGGACTTAGTGCAGCACTAAAACAGCATCACTATCCACTTCCAGCATCGGAAGGTATTTTTACGGTTCTCAACGGCAGTACATGCTTCGCTATAACTGACATGGCCGACGCGTATTTACAAATCGAGGTGGCACTAGAATGCCCAGAATTATTACCAATTAACACACATCGTAGATCATACCAGTACAACCGCCTCCCATTTGGAATAAAAACAGCTCCAGCAATTTTCCAACAAATAACAGACACCATTTAATCGGGTATACCCAGGGTAGCTGCGTATCTGGATGATATTCTGATTGTTGCGGCCTCCTCAGAACAGCTACAAAACCGATTGGATCAGGTGATGAAACGAATAGAAGATAATGGGTTCCGTCTTAGTCCCGAAAAATGTCAGTTCAACCTACATCCAGTCAAATATCTGGGATTTATTTTTGATGCTTTCGGTCACCGACCAGACCCCGGAAATATTCGCGCCATACAGCAAACGCCTGAAATAAGTGATACCTTCACCCTACGATCATTTTGGGACTGATTGCATATTATTCAGCATCCTTATTCTCATTGCATGCTGTGAAGACGCTGTTAAATCACCTCCTGGGTACAGACATTCCGTGGCAGTGGACCAAAGAATGTACAACAACCTCCCGTCAGCTGAAGTCAATGTTATCATCCGACCTTTTGCTGACCCACTATGACCCACCGTTGTCAATCGTTATAGCCGCAGATGCTTCGCCACATGGAGTTGGAGCTGTAATCCTACATGTCTTCCAAGTTGGTAAAGAGAAGACCGTCATGCGTGCTTCTCGAACGCTGTCTATCCCAGAGCAGAAATACAGTCGAATTGAGGAAGAAGCCCTGGCCATTGCTTTTGCCGTTCGTCGTTTCCATAAGCTGGTCTATGGCCACAAATTTACTCTACTTACCGACCATAAACCGCTGCTGGCTATTTTGGGTTCAGAATCTAGTGTTCCGGTTTACTATGCACATCGTCCACAACGATGGGCCCTAACGTTACTGGGATATGATTTTGACATTGAGTTCCGACGCACCCAAGAGTTCGGCCAAGTCGACGCCTTGTCCGTCTTATGAGTGAATATTCTACCACCAACGAAGAAAAAGTTACTGCAACAGTTTCAACAGATTTCGCAGCTTTTGACTTAACTGCAGCCATCAGAGCGCTTCCAGTCACCGCAAACGATATGCAGATGGCTACACGCACGGACAAAACACTACAGCGTGCAATCCAGTTTGTTCTCACCCGATGGCCGAAAGAAACGTTCACAGGTGACCTCCAACAGTTACATCATCGCCGAAAATCCCTGTGTATTGTCATTCTGCTTCCAATTTTCAAGTATCTTCTGATGGGACATCGGCTACAAATTCGCCCTCATCGCTGAGGACGGATAGCATTTCATTTTTATAGTCCGATTTACTCATCACAACAATTCCTGATCCTTGTACCTAGATGGCTTCAAAAACCAATAGAGTTTGAAATATTGATAAACGGTGGTGGAAGACGACCCTCTTCATCTGTAGCTAAACATATTATAGAAACAGGTCACAAAATTAATGTTCAAACACCTTTCAGTTTTATAACAAGTTTGAAAAAGAAGAGTAAGAATTAGTATTTTCTACTCAAATACTAAAATACAATATCATAGATGAATGAAACAAATGTAAGTGATAAAACTGTGCACAATTAAAGTTCGGCTTCAAAACAAGAAAGTTGCAAAAAATAACCGAATTTCATACCTACTTTTTGATAAAACTTGCTAGCTGCTTACATAATTTTTATTAATCCATTGAATAAAAGCGACCAACCACAAAACTAGTAACAAATATTTCGAACAAACAGTGTGTCCAACAGTATGCTTAAATACAGAAGTCCAGTACATTAGGCATACATAGAAGACTAGCAGTGTCCGTTGTTTAAATGTGTTCATTTCTTATTTACTTCTATAATGAATGTAGATAGTGAACATTTTAAACCCCAATTTGACGGAATCTATGAAAGTTGAATAGGTGGTGTCGGCGGCTCTGGAAATTCACCAACAGCATCCCAGTAATGACGTCTCCAACGATACAAATACACAATATGATTGATTCGGTCTTCCAATTTCGTTAGTTTAACATTTAGGTCATCAAGTGTTGGGCAACCAGATAAAATATCTGTAGCACTTTCTCGTTCCAAACGCTCAAAAGTAAGGTAAGGATAAAAACGAGCCATTTTTTCATGCACATATATGCGTGCTCTAAAAATGCAAAACGGATAAAATATGAGTTTATTAAGGAAGTTAAGAACAAGGTGAGAAATAAAATACAAAAACATCCAAAAACATGCAATCAAAAATAATAATACGTTTAAGAACATAAGCTGGAAAAGTAAGAAAAATCTATGATTATTCACTATGACAAGTAAGTATTTTTAGTTGTAAACTAACAAACATGGAAAAGTGTACTAAGACCAATGTTGTAAATATTTTTATTTCCAGTGTTGGAGGATGTTGAATTTTATCACTTTCTGGAATGTAAAGTTTTCCTATGCATGCCATATTTTATTTTTGTTTTTCTAAAGTAATGAATAAATACAGTCACTTACAGAGGGTAGCCAATTTACTCTTCTCTAGTCCGAAATGCTGAATGAATCTTATTGATCATTATCTAGTATTGGCGTTCTGAAAACTGCCCTGAGCAACTTGATGTGAATCATACAATTTTATACTCTTCCATCGAACTAGACAAGTAAACTCACTTCATCTGCGTTCGCCGATGACATTACAGCACACTTATCTGCTTCACACAGTGACATCTCAACATATACTTCATCCTTAATGAATACTCGCTCATGTGTACGCGTCAACACAGTTCAACAACCACTACTAATTTACGCATTATAATGTTTGTAGAAGTTGGGCCGAAAAACAAAAATGATAGTAGTGACCTATAGAAAAATGCATAAACAGTTAATACCTCCAACCAAAGGACACCAATGGCCATAGGTTTTAAGATAACCATAAGAGACCACCAGCAAATGACTCCGTCAGTCGTAATCACATCAGTCTCCAAATCTTATAACAGACCATAAACACAACATGAAAGTGAAGGTATATCACTTTCAGCTTGAGACTTTTGAAATCATGCTTTTCTAAATCTGGAAAACCAAATCACTAGAGCTTAAGGCAAATTGTTCGGGTTCTTTGAAGTAGGTTTATTGGGTTTAAAGACTTCTCACCTACCACAGAATCGAAAGAAGCAAACACCTCCATAAACAAAGAAATGAGTTATTGTGAAACACACATCCAAAAGAAGTGTCGATATAATAGATAAAGTCGTATACTTGACTTCCTAACAGCGATATCATTGTATGTTATTACATTTAGTTTTACTAAGTAAAACGTGTTATATGCTAGGAACTAACCAGCAGGAGGCTCTAGACACATGTTTCGTGCTTGTTAGTTATCATCAGCAGGACGCGTTTGAATCTTGTAAGGAACTGATATTTCCTATACCAGTTAGTACTAGACTAAATGTGTCGAAGTACTCAAAGTTGGTTGCATTACAAGAAACTTGAGCAAACCGAATCTTGATTCACGATTAAGAGCTCGATACGAAAAGTAGGCTAATCTCGAACAGATAAACGACAACGAACCGTATAACCCTGTATATGTTAATCCCAAACCCTCCCCCACCCCCGTAGTAAGGACAAAAGAAAAACATAAGCAATTTGAACGTGTCTATTACCGCTTCGAACCGACGATGCATACGGGAAGAAGTCATTTGTATATACAAGATTTCCAGAGGTTGCCTTAAAGATAGTCGATTCTAAAGTGTGTTAATCATCGCACTCGAAATTCAACAAATGCTTAAAAATGGTGAATGTTTCTTGAAGATGGCTTGTATAACTGCCAAAAGCATAAAAATTACTCGTAGAACAGTTATAGTAGAAAAAAATATGGGTAAGTTACAAAAGAAGTCGTATATGCCGGAGACTAGCATCCGGGATTTTCCTTTCTTGCAGTTATATCTACAAGTTTATTTCAACCTACGAACTAAACAAATATAGTGTTTAGAAGCAGTTGCATTAACAGAAAGGCAATTATTATAACCTCATTTGAGTAGGTAGTCATGAAGCGCCAGTGCTACTGTTACTGTTTTATTTTATTAGGTGAAAATACCAATATATATAACCGTAGCACTGTCACAATACACTTACAACAATATAGGATTCATTGGCACAATCTCTACCTCCCTAGGTATGTACCGGCAAACAAAATAAATCCATTTGACAATATCATCTAATCGGTAACGATGTGGACCAACGGCCTCATAAGTCTGTCCAAGAGACTCTGGATTGTGTAAGCAATTGATGATTCCACGTGCAACATCACCTGCATAAACAGGTTGTTTGATAGTCTTCTCTCCACAAGCCCATAAGGGAATATAATACTTGTTAAACGCTTTGATGCGACGTGCTACAGAAAGTTTACAGAACACAAACAGAAATATAAAAGATCATATATATATGTCAAAAAATAAGTACATTAGTAATCAGGTGACTAATATTAAAAAATATGTAATTCGAAATAATCTCACTTACAAAGAGGTCTACAACAGTTAACAAAGTCAAAGGGTATAGAAACTCCCTATCTTCTAGGACAGGACAATGGCTTTTTGCATAGTCAATGACAAAAAAACTAGAAATTCTTTGATTATAACATTACCAATGTGCTTCTCAATAAAGGCGGTCAGATTATTTTGGTTTAAAAAGAGTTAATGAACACTTAGTTTCCTTGATAACTGAGTGGAACAGGCACAATTTAATGTGAAGGATAAGAGGAATTTGCTTAGTTTTTGACATTACACCAGCTACAAACCAGTCAAAATTAAAAGGGTTGATACAAAGTTACTCATTAGGTAAATGACATACTTTAAACTGTTTGCATAGAAAGCAATGTTGAGACTGTACATCACAACAATAGGTCATGAGATTCCAGAAAGCAAAATAACCGGAAAAAAAATTTTTTTTTAAACTGAAACTAACTTGTGCATAACAAAAATAAAAGGTTTTGTTAACGGGAATAACTTTTAAAAAAAATTAAAGAAAAAGTCGGGGTTATCAACGTTTGGAATTATAAGATATTCGGGAAATAATTACTGCTTTTGAATGAATTCAACTAAAAATAAGTGAAAATCGCTCCCTGAGTTCTCAATGATTTATTGACATGATGGGGCCATGTATAGTGCAGTGCAGTGTTTACTACTCAAAACAATCCTTATAAATTCGGGTTGTTCCTAACGGCTTAGACTAGCTACAAAATGAATTCATTATATTTCGGGAATTTTCTTGTTCAATCCAAATTGATGCATCTCAATATCACATAAATAAAATGAAAAAGTGTCATATGAGTGAACACTTAATAAACACCTGTAGAGTAATTAGCTGATCACAGGAAGATGATAGTATTAATGCAACTCAGCAATTATGTGCAAGTTAACTCAGTAGACTGTGGGCGGCACCTGACATGAGAGCTAATAGTAGTATAGAGCTGCATAACATTGGACAATTGCAGATTTTCGGCTTTAGTTCCATGTCTTTCAGTGACCATTCTGGGGATCTTTTCATTATTCAAGTCTTAATGTATTTCGCAGCTGGCTGAGGTATAGAGGCTGCTAGAAATGTGTATCACAGGAAATAGCCAAAACAAGACACCACAAAGTCTCTAATAACCACTTTGAGAGCAGTGTGATGAACTGTAAGCCTCCGGGACGCGGTTTTCAAAGTAACTAAATCGGCTAATCAGCGACCAAGTGAACTGGTTTACAGCCTACAATAGGATCGCACGAGCACCCATTACTTAAGTTGATGTAGTGAACTTTCTTGAAAACTATGCCTTTTAATCTAAATTCAACAATCAAGTTCAGATTCATACACTAGATGATAACCAAACCTATATTGTGATAGTCGTGATACAATCCGTTTGCCAAAAACCTCAGTGGGTGTTCCACTTTGAATCTGTAACACACTACTTGTATGCGCATTGCTGAATTCAAACACTAACAATTTAACAACATGTCGTTCGAAGCACTTTCGCGATTCGCTTTCTCGCGTGGTGTTTGCTTCTTAAGGAACCAACATTTTAAAAAGTATACCTTGACTGTTCCAATGGTTTAAACATACCTCATAACCACAGCAAAGTAGTACGTTACTAAAGAAATGATTTATGTGTTGACATTTGTTACAAACAGCTTTTACATATAATATACCACTTAGTAAATACGACCAAAATACAATAAAATCAATATTCAGCAATTTACCTGCCTATTGCCAATAAAATCTGGTTCACATCTTTGTGAGATTAAAGCGAAAAACATATTGTTCACCTAAATGACAGATTTCTAACAATAATTTACGCAGTAAATGCTAGTCTTGAAAATTTCCACTCACTTAAATCCTATTCCGTAAATGCTGATTCTCCATGACTGTCGACCATATGGATTCATATTGGTTACCTTTTAATATGACTAAATAAATGAACATCTTTGGATTCTAGCAAAGGATGCGGAAATAGTACTGTATTATATACCAAACCTCATGGATAAAATCTGCTGTTCTTAGTCGACACCGGAGAAAAACTGTAACTTGTTATTTTAGATCATCAGCTTTCAATAGTGATTCACGGTTTCCCATCTTGACCCACCTGTTGAGGTTTAACCATATAGATGGCATCACCAGCGTTTAGGTGATTAGCTTAGTGCTTACTAAAACTACATTTCATTATCTATAGGACGAGTTATCTTTTATAAGCTTTGCAACTTCGACAGAGATACATCATTTCCACGAAATCACTACGTGAAAATTTACAAACGGAATAACCACCTTCCTCTCAGGGAAGACAGACCTAAAATTATTATCATTACTATTATTGATAATATAGTAATGATACAATGACTATAATACCAATAATAATAATAATAGTAATAATAATAATAATATAACCCAATGAGGTATACATTTGCATACTAGACCGTGAACCACACTTGATGAAGAATATCTGTAGCTCAGGAGGATAATTTTGATGGTGTTTTCTGAGCTGGGTGGTTTATTCGTAGAGCTTTCGTTGTCATTCTAGACAACATCATCAGCACAAACTTCAGAAAGCGGTGAGCTATGGGGTTTTCTCCACAACTTGTTTATTAGCTTGTCTTGATGGCACTGTGTATGATTGTTTGTTTCTGTCAAGGTCTTACCCTTGTTTCCATATTTATTTCGATTAATTGTCCTGCTGGTGTGAAATCTGATTTCTTCGGTTTCTTAATGGTTGATAGACCGGGTCAACGTCATTATGTCCGTTGACTGCTAAATGACCTGAATGCCAAACATCTAGAAATTCTCTGGCATTATTCGTATTTACTCCGTCCAGGATTTCCACATTTCTCCAGTCAAATCCATGTTCACAGTTGACCGTATGCACTGATGTAAATGAAAATGTCACGACGTTTCACTCCACGTTGATGTTCATATAGACGGATACTTCTGTAAACACCGTTTAATTTGTTTTCTTTTGCTGTTGTACCTTTTGGCCTGCATGACAAAGAGTGAAGAGACTTTGTTGGCTTTTGAGATACGGAGATTCAAAAAGGCTTCAATAATCTAGTCGTGATCTTGGGGACATTCTTCATGTAGGGTCGGACAATCAGTTTATTTATTTTGAGGTTAACTTCTTGGCTGTCGACGAATTATGTAAACACCTTTTGATGAAGTTGCGTAGATAGCAGTTCTTCTGGAAAAGTCATCAAACAATTTTTTTCTTTTTTTCGTAGGGTTAATGTGCTACAGTGCGTCTTCGCTCTTTGGAACGATGTTTTTATACAACTGATTTTCTGCGCTGTTGGGTTGTTCCTATTCTAGCTGAGCTAGTTTTCTATGTACCCCAGTTTCCAAACAAGCAACCAATAGTCTTGGTTGTATTGTGTTCTCTGAGCTGGGTTGTTTAATCGTGAAGCCTTCATCGTCTTGCTAGACGACATCAGCAGCACTAACTTCAGTATGAAGTGAGCTGTCAATATCTCTTCGTGAGTGATTTAGTGGCTTGCTCTGACGATGTGATCTGTGATTGGTTGTTTCCTTCGGTTGTTGTGTCATTGATTGTATAGACTTTCCTGTTGGCTGTTCCTCTGCTTGACTTCTGACCTTTCTGTCGTTTATCATTTTTCTTATTGGTTGATAGATCGGGTCTATGTCTATACATCTGTTGATTGCTGACTGACCTGAATGCCAAGCTTCTAGGAATTCTCTGACATTCTTTGTGTTTCCTCTGTCCAAAATTTCTACATTGTTGAAATTGAATTCATGTCCACAATTATCCACGTGCATTGAAATGAGTGACGAAATGTCGTGGCGTTTAGTAGCCAATTGGTGCTCATGTAGACGAAGGCGAAGAGAGTGGCCACTTTGTCCAATATAGTGTTGACTACAGTTATTGCAGTTGATAATAGCTGTATTTCTCGACCTGAAGGCGGCATTTGACTCCGTTGATCGAGAAGTCTTATGGCAATGTCTGTCACTGAAAGGCGTGCCTAGTAAATATATCACGTTATTGAAAGCTCTCTACTCGAACACTTGTGGGCATGTTAGAGCCTATGGTGAGTTGTCCAGGGAGCTATACTCATCAAGTGGTGTCCGTCAAGGATGCCTACTATCCCCATTCTTATTTAATTTTATCATAGATATTCTTATGGAGGTTTCCCTCTCGTCAGCTAATTACGGAGACGTTGACCCAATCACAGGTGAATTTTCTTTAGATCTAGAATATGCAGATGACATAGTCCTGTTAGGTGAGGACGCTGATAAGATGCAGAGTCTTCTGAACACTTTGAGTGGGAATTTGAGAATGTTTGGGATGCGATTTTCACCACCCAAATGCAAATTTTTGCTCCAGGACTGGTCTTCAGCGGTGCCACGGCTAACAATAGAGAGTGAAGTGGTTGAGTATGTTGACCACTTCACTTACCTTGGAAGTAGGATCAACCCCGGTGGGTTAGTTGCCGATGAGATTTCTGCACGGATACAAAAGGCTCGATTGGCTTTTGCCAATTTACGCCACCTATGGCGCCGCCATGATATTCGTTTGTCTATTAAGGGTCGCGTGTACTGCACAGCAGTCCGCTCTGTTCTACTGTATGGCTATGAAACATGGCCATTGAAGGTGGAAGATATAAAAAGGCTTCAGGTGTTTGACCACCGTTGCCTTCGTAGTATAGGACGTATTCCGTGGTGTCACCATGTGAGTAATGCAGAAGTTAGGTGTAGAGTTTTGGGGAGAAGAGGTAAGTCAGTCGACGAGTTTGTGAACCTTCATCGACTGAGATGGTTGGGACACGTACTACGTATGCCTAGTCACCGATTGCCTCGTCACACAATGTTGGCTGAGGTGGGTCCAGGCTGGAAGTAGGCCCGAGGTGGCCAGACTAAAACATGGCACCAATGTATGAAGTCTCTGACTGTTGGTTTAAGCCATGTAGGACGATGCAGACTAAGTGGTTGGGGTCCACGGGACAAGAGGAACTAGTAGTTGCAGACTGACTCTAGGTGATATGGCTGAGAACCGAAGTCAGTGGTGCAGATGTATACACACATTATCGTCATCTTAACAGCGCTATACCGAATCTCACCATTTTGTCACTCCTCTTTCCTTTCTTCTCGTACTTTATATTTCTTTTGACTGCATTCACTTATCTTCATCCTTCGCCTCACTATCTTTTTACTTGATGTGCTGATATGAGATGTGGCAACTCGGACCGTTACGCAGTAATGCCTGGTCCTGTGTTGATAATGATGATGAGGATGATGCGTTTGTCGATTTCCATCGATGGTTTTGTAGTTGATGATATGCGTGATAGGCACCTTCTGACAAAGTTTCATGGGTAGCCAACACACACTGACCAAATCCTCAACTACAGTAGCAACAACGTACAAAATCAGTTGCATGCAGACTCTATTCAAAAGAGCGAGAACACACTGCAGTACAACAACTTCACGCACAAACTAAGGAAATTACTTGATGTCCATCCTAAAGAATAACGGCTACACACGAAACTTTGTCAGAAGGTGTCTGCTGTTCAGTTGAAGTCTGTGTTACTGGTCCTTCAACATACTACATCCCACCCTACAAAGTCATCGACGGAAATCGACAAACGCATCATCCTACCGTACATAAAGAATACGTCAGAAATCACGACATGATTACTGAGACCACTTGGAATTGGTGTGGCTCATAAACCAACAAATCCCGTCCAAACACTATTATGCAGACCAAAGGATGCAACAAGCAAAGAAGACAAACCGAACATCATTTACAAAATCAACTGCAATAACTGTAGTCAACACTATATTGGACAAAGTGGCCACTCTCTTCGCCTTCGTCTACATGAGCACCAATTGGCTACTAAACGCCACGACATTTCGTCACTCATTTCAATGCACGTGGATAATTGTGGACATGAATTCAATTTCAACAATGTAGAAATTTTGGACAGAGGAAACACAAAGAATGTCAGAGAATTCCTAGAAGCTTGGCATTCAGGTCAGTCAGCAATCAACAGATGTATAGACATAGACCCGATCTATCAACCAATAAGAAAAATGATAAACGACAGAAAGGTCAGAAGTCAAGCAGAGGAACAGCCAACAGGAAAGTCTATACAATCAATGACACAACAACCGAAGGAAACAACCAATCACAGATCACATCGTCAGAGCAAGCCACTAAATCACTCACGAAGAGATATTGACAGCTCACTTCATACTGAAGTTAGTGCTGCTGATGTCGTCTAGCAAGACGATGAAGGCTTCACGATTAAACAACCCAGCTCAGAGAACACAATACAACCAAGACTATCCACCTGAGCTACAAATATTCGCCATTATTTCAAGCAACTAATAGTCACTGCATCTTGATTAGTAATATTTACTTTGTTTTGTTACGCTGTTTTATTTACAAAACTAGAAAAATCTGCTAGGTGGTTATTTAACCCAGCATTTGTAGATATAGACACAAAAAAGACGAAAACTGATCAGACTTCAACAAGAGTCATGCAAAACCTTGCTGTCAATCACTTGTCATAACACTTGACGCTTCATATGTTCATTGCATAGACCTATACTGCAGAAAAAACAGATTCCATTTATTTAATGTTTGTAAGCAATTTGTCTGGTTTGAAGATAAGCAAAAATGCGTTATCTGAATAATGGGATATTTATGAGCAATGAACTGTCGTTTTACTGTAGTTTATGACTACACAGAAACACAGTGTTACGATACTTTCCAAGGTTCGATCGAGTATCTTTGGATACAACATAAAATTCTTTATTGCCATACTAGCAGATTAGACAAAATATTGTTCTCATATTTTTGGCTTTTCAAAGGTCATCAAAATTGTAGTGACATGTAACAAAATGAAAAGATAATAGGTCCCTGAGTTTACAACCCCGTAACTGATGAAGGAAATAACTTCCTGGCAATGAAATTACTTGCGAGTAGGTGAAAGAAAATCTTAATCCACATTGATAGGTAGTGAACCAACGAAATCTCCAAAACGACCCAAACCAAGTGAACTGAAAACCCAAATAGCATATCAGTAATAGTGTAAATGCATCCCTTAAGGGTTCATGTTTGATGGTTCCATCCATAAGTTTCATGCTAAATTATCTTAAACTGAAATGCAACATATAGATAGAAAACTGAGTAATAAATGCATCAAGTGCTACACACACTTACGGCTCGAAGCAAAATAGCATAAAAAGCGATCGCTATGCCCCCACATTTCAGCTGGTCTGAAAATTGTAGCATCAGGGCGTTCACGGCGAACTTCTTCTTCACCAATAGCCTTAGATATCATGAACCGAGAGGGTTTTCTAGCATACTTCGGGGGTTTCGGTTCTGACATAATGCAGACAGGTGAACAAGTTGGCTAACTCCCATTTCCTTAGATATCCTTGCAATACGAGCAGCTCCATCGATATTTACTTGCTCAATGGTAAAATTCCTGGTATCGAATTCTGTACCGATTAAATTGATAACAATGTCACTGTATTTCATGGATTTTCTTAAGCATTCATCGTCATCCAGATTGAATGGCTATCAATTTATAAAATAACTCAGTATTACACATCTGCTTATGCACGTTAAGGAGAAATGAATATTCAATGACGTTTAAGCCGATTCATGAAAGCTAGTGTATGAAACGATAACGTTAACCAACGAAAGTATAAATGTTAAAGTATCCGGCTATACAATTACATGCATCTCTTGAAAACTCATGAAGCCTCTGTTTTTCGAGGCTGGTAAAATATGGGGTGAGGACCTATTGACCTAGTTATTGGAAAACAATTCAAATGATTTTTCAAAATGCTATCGATTATTTTATGAACGATGACTTCAATTGCACATTTATCCCGCTCCCCGATCATGTGATGATGTGACTCGTTGGCTTGTCAAGTCTAACTTCAGCTGCTGAGAACCAACTTCGAGTCACGCTCGGAGTAATTTAGTCTGAACAACCAAGCAGTATTAAAAATTCACGCAAATCAAGTTTGATTAGCAGCCTAGAACATAAACCGCTTTTGTTCAGGTTTATGATTTTCGCATAACAGAAACTAAGCGACGGAGGGGCAATAATCTATGATCAAATGATAACGTATACATCTGAAGGTGGTACACAGGTGTACTTGGAAACAATCACTATGAGACCCTAAATACATAACCATAATTTTAGTATGAAAGAGCAAGCTGCCTAACATAATAGTATCTCTTTAAGTTACTTGAATAATCTGTCATGGTTGAACGGGTGAGGAACTTGCTCTTCCTCTCCAAATGCTTTTGTGAAATCATAAATGTACAGCCTTTGCAAAAAAAAGTTGAATTACCCTGGTTCTAATCAGATGATGCACATGAACTCCAGAGACCGAAGGGAAGTGGTGTATTGATTTACTCTTAGGACCGGCAAATACGATAATGCAACTTCTTGGTTTGATTAAGTTTTCGAATTCGATTCGAAGACCACGATAGTGATCTGATAGGATGGTCGCCCGTTTCAGTTTGAACGAGATTTGCGAGGGTTTATGCCTGCAGTGTTGCTTTTTAAGTAAACTGTTGGAAGCATATGGGTAGTTGTATTAGTGGTAGAGAAGTGACTGGTAAGAATTCTAACTGCATATCGAAAGGAAATAGGTTCAGATCGACCTGCATCACATTTCCACCCATGGTGACGTCAGTTTTGCTCTAAACGAACAGATGTAAGGCGCATTAGTAAAAACAGTTCTGTTTGTGAAAAGTGAGATGAAGATGTTGGACGACTGTATTTTTTATCGCCACGCTCTCCGTAGAATTGTTGGCATTCGAGGAAAAAATCATTTCAGGAGTTCTGAGATGTAGTGGGAGGTGTGGATTTGGTGGAGATGGTCATTCATCATGTGCATTCATCTTAGATATGTGCTACAGGTACCACCTCAAAGGCTCAAATACTGGGAGTAGCTGTAGATCAGTCTTAGAGCATTACCTTCCATTTCACAACTGTGAAAAATATACCAAACATACTCAGATTTCTACTCAAGATATTCTGAAGACTGCATTTTGTCAGATTCTTCGCCAAACAAAACAATTACATTTGTGCACTGGTAACTAAGTAGGTGCCGTCCAGAAAGAGATTCAATCCTCCGAAAGTTGGAGGTATGGCAAGGCATAGGATTTTATGTTTACTTTTCATAGGATATTTCACACAAACAGAATTTGATTAATCTTACGGTAATATTAGCATCAACCTCTGGCCACCAGCACCTTTAGTTTGTCAGGGATTTCACCTTCTGATCCCAAGAGTGCGGGACGGAGATCACTGGGTACAACGGATATCACTGTTAAATATAAAAATCCTTTAGGATGCCGTGATATATAAACCTCTGTATCTATAAAATCTAGAAAACCTACGGTTGCATTGACAATTTCGACCTTTCACCTGAAACAGAGCTGATGGGTGTGCTTGAACCCAACCGTTGTATAAAAATCATGTACCTAAGCCGATGACCGATAGCGCCGTCAAAATATCGAATGTTAACAAAACGTTGGGGTAGTTCTTTCCAAGAAAACAACAGGATGCAATAACTGTCCACAGCAGAATATGATGAACTCACAAATAAATAAGAGTTCAGTGAAAAATAAACAATAATCTAGTTTACAACTGAGTCAACAAAAAATTGTGATAGGAGTAACATACCATGTATAAAATTTGCCCCAGATCTCCAATGACTTTGATATCTCTAACCAAGTAAAAGTCGCTTCTGTAAGGAATTATAATCTGGGTCCCAGTTTTCGCAAGATGAGTTAATACACTTTTCCCCAAGTATCCAGGAGCTCCAAATACAGTTGCCACCATACCGTTAAATGATGCCCTCCCACCGGTTCCCCGTTTAAGTTTACTAAGAGCAGGTGGCTCTTCACTCAAACATTTTGAAGTACTTGTGAAGGAACGATAACTCCAACCATCTAAGTAAAGATTTAATATCCATTAGCAGTATCGTACATAAAATAAAAGTAAAATGAAATAATGCAAATTAATTTCAATTACGCTAATGAAGTTCGCCATTTGGTACGTAATATAAGACACAACAGAGAATGTAAGAGTACCATCTTGTTATTTTTATATCCACTGAAATATTTTCGCTTTTAGATAAGGCAATACCCTGTTCAAGATTTATTCTACAACCAGTGTTTGATTCGACTTTCATAACAAAACTAGATTTTACGTAATTGAGAACATTCCGATTTGGTATCCCTCTTTAACTCTTCCATTTATGACAGTACTCCAGCAAATAATGAAGCCAGTAATGATAGTAGCGTAAACCTGTTACGGTAGAAAGGCTTCTCGAACTAGAGTAGGTTGATAGCATCACCATACTGTTTTACAGCATACAGGTTAATCAGACAGCACTCAGACAATTGCAAGTACTTGCCCATAATTGGTGTTATGGTTGACACCATAAACGTACAAAATAATTTTACAGAGCTGAAAGAGATTACCACTTGAACTCATATTTGGAAGCAGTCAGAAAGTCTGGAAGACATCTGCTGATTATTTTGTACCGAACTTGCTTTGAAATATAAATAAGTCGGAAAGTTTATGTAAGCGTTGGGTACATAACACTTGAGTGGAGACAGTTCATTGCAAGTAGGCCTTGCTTTATCCAAACAAGATGTCTGGTGGTCAATCACTGAATATCTTCTAGAATTTGTTGCACAATGTAGCAACAGCATCTAAGTGATCAAGAAGTTCCACGGTGCATATTCGCGTATCCCTACGACAGACACACAAATGTAAAACCTGGCACAAAAGTGAATCAGTTGACGTTGCTATACTTCGCAAAAGCAGGCAAAGTGAATAAAAAAGGTAAACAAGTTTACGAAAGGAGAAATAAACAAACTAACAACATCAGCGATATCCGAGATTTCGAAGACGGTAAGGGGTGCATGCATGTGAACAATTGTGATCGATTTTGAGATATCACAGTCTCTAAAGATAAGTTTCTAATGCCGTGAGGACATCGACCGAACAGCCTACTATCCACACGGCTCACAACAGTCAGAAAGTCTGCAGACTGGTCTCAGTTTTGATTTATTCATGTTAGACATACGAACGGATGTAACCTTAGGTGTACCTTCAACTTTTCAAGTATTGACTTACTTCCTGAAAGGCACCTGGTTAGTTTCCAGTACACAGACGAAATTGTCCATCTTGGCAAAGATGCTGACAAAATTTCGGATCTTCTAAACAGCTCGAGGAGAAACATGATTATGTTTCGCACACATTCCGCGCCTATCAAATGCACGATGATGCTTCAATATTGGTCCGCCTTAATTAGCCTTCCGATACACTACCTTTGTGTTCCCAAGTTGATAAAAGTGACTGCACTATGCCTTTTTGTTTCTTTTAGGCGCCTCAAAAAGTGACAAGATTAAACTGGTTGAGTTTTATTTGTGTGGAAGTTAGGGATGACTAGAGACACCCCTAGAAGCATAGTCATCAGGGATTGCTGAGTAAGATAACTGATATATTAGCTACGGAAAGGGAATCAGATAATCCAGCAACGGAGATCCGTGTTTGAGACGCCAGAGGAAATTTTCTGTTAGAAAAGAAGCAAAGCCGATTAAGAGTTTCCAAGATTTTAGGTTTCACGGTGATTCGATACTTAAATGGACCTTGAGTACAGTAAATCCATGCTAAGAGGTTTCACATACGGTTATTGGTGTGTTGCTAATGTATACACCTTTTCCTAGAACCTAGAGCACGGATAAAACCACGGTAACGACACCATATTTCTTGACCCCACGCTGGCATTTGACACCAACTACGAGGCATTTTGGTAGCATCTTTTGCTGAAAATGGGGTCTCCGTTAAAAGTATCACTATGTGTGATAACCGATACTAGGTCTTACGGTGAAACATCCTTTAATGCGTCTATCAAGGATGAAAATAGCCACTTTTATTGACACCCGACCGACAACTGCTACCTTCATGTGCTCTTTGGACTTGCTTATCACAACTACCCAATGAACCACGGTGCAAACAACTGTTTCCTGAGGTCTCACTATACCAGAAAGGTCTGCTAGATAGCAATAAAACAAAAGCAATTACTATCATGGTGTAAATAACTACTCCGTGGAGAGTCCGAAAGGGAAGTGGTACTGCTGGTTGGATAGGAGTGTGACAACATTATAATGTTTCCCACGGATGACAAGCAGTTCATGGTTATGCTGTTTACTGCAAGGTAATAGGGGTTGTTAGAAAACGTCCAGCCCAAAGGTAGCACACCTCTCTGCCCTGCAAACTTCCAGTACCAGGAGTATGTTTTCTAACTGGATTTAAGGCAAAGTTGATGCTCAAACTTTTAGAAACAGTGTATGACTGGCCTCAAGCAAGTGTTCGCCGGGCTCTGTGGTCACGCACGACTGCTACTAATTCAACGAAGAAATAACTATCTACGGTGTGAGCAACCAGGAAGTGTCAACCATCCTCAAAACTCTGTGAACATCTCCCAGAGACATTTATTGACATTTATTACAGGTATATATGTATAGGTTACTTTGTTTATAACTTCTCATTACTTATTCTAATTAGCAACTTTTTACTTCCATTCTTGAAGACACTAATAAATCCTCGGTTCTCATGCTTTGAAGAGCCTTAGTAACTTCAGAAACAGTTTAGGAAACAATATGTATATTCCACTTAGACAGATTAGATGTTACTTGGATGGGGCTTAGCCAAGGAACAGTTCAACTGTTTTGTACCCAACATTTCAGCTACTTCGTAGAGATTGTCAAAGAACCAATTTTCTTAACGATAGTCCACGTAAACACTGTGCTTTTCAGACTTCCTCTAAAATCATACGTAATCGACCAGTATGACTTAAAGTCGACAGTTCTTCTACAGTCTTTGGTTTCGTCATTCACTGCTGACTGCATTCAGTAGGATTCTTAGATTTCGTCTAGGTTACTTTCGATTCCTAAAGTTATGACAACTGGTTAGAATGGTCCTCTTAACTCAATAGCTCTCAGTAAAATTCAGTAGGGAGTTACCAACTTATGGCTGCTTCGATAACAGAGTGAGTAATACGCCCGACTTATCATTCAACATCCAACAACATCAATAGTGCAAGTAGAGGAAACATAGTTTTTTAGCTCTCCCTTCTACGTCTTGAGGCTCGGTTCATTTTCATCGCTTGCTCTCCTTCGATTGCCGCAGAAGTCTTTGCGTTTGCCTGCTTATAACTTTGGAGGTAGTGATTGTCTATTTGAAGGAATTTCATTTGCAAATTGCAGCTTGGTTTGTCTTGGCGGCGACGGGTGGCACCGTAGCTGCTAGTAAGGTCAATTAACCGCCTGTAATTCCTATTATTGTAAGCATCTGCAGGTAAGTATTAAGCGTTACTTTAAATGTGCTAGAAATAGGGTGAGTGGGGAATGAGAAAAAGAGGAGTGAAAGTTGCTGCCAAAACTGCTGCAGTATTGAGATAAATACATTAGCATCTCCTCTCCTAAATATACGCTTGATGTTTTTGTCTTTAATTTAGACAATTAAAGGTCTTATCACTGTTTTTTGTACCGGTTAAAGTGCAAACATATAAATGCCCGGAATAACACAGCCGGAATGCAAGCAGGTACTCCAAAATAGCGGAAATCTTCCACCTGTCACCTTTATCGGTTTACGGCAAAGAGATCTGTATTCACTACTTACTTGGTTTTCACTGATTTTATATGAGACAATGAGCATTCTTATACTTGAAGTTAGTGCGGGCCAGGAAGAGAGTGATTGACGTACTCACGTCGTAGACAATCACCCTCATCATCTCGTCTTTATGAGAATTTGTAGATACACAGAACTGTACAGGTTGATAAACTTACATGAATCACGGCAGCTTAGCCTAACACCAAATAATAGGGACCTATTCATTAATGTACAACCACCCTACTCAAATCCCGCGCTAACTAGTTTAACATCCAAAATCCAATATCTATTTAACGAGCTAGTGTAAACCAGTTGATTTCTTCTTGCTCACTTCTTGGTCTTGGGGAACGGTTCCATGTCTTTGGCAGATTCCGATGCATTATATCCAGCCACTCGTCTGCTATAGCTCTGATATACAGAGCAAGAGGTGGTGTTGGTTAGTTCGCTCTTGACTGCGGTGCTGTTGGCTTCTTCAGATGCCGAGTTGCCAGACAGTTGTTTGAATTGGTCGTTCAAAAGAGTTAGGGATAGTGAGGAGGAAGTCCAGGAAGGCAAATGTGTGTGAGTAAAAGGAGAAGTGAACTAATGGAGTAATCTACTTACATCCAAGTAAGGCGAGGAGGGGTGCAAAGATATGTAGAATTCAGATGATTGGGGTTGATTCTTACCAAATTGAGGAGATGAAAAGGGCTTAAATGGTTGCAGCAGAAGGAAAACTGCTTGCAGAGGTAACATGGCTGGAATGGCGTGACATCAGTTGATTTCTTCTGTTTAGTTCCAGTTCCAGCGACATGTGAGTAGACCGCGGGTCTCTGCGTGACTGTGTAGCCTTTTCTCATAATTTCAATTGATTGGCGGAGAACATCTCTGCTGGTAATGTATTCCAGTGCCCACAGACTCGGAGGGAGAAGTTTGATCGCACTTGCGTTTCTGACATTTGATGGGTAATTCTCTAAGTGGTTCTACGAGAATTACCCTAGTGGTTACTCGGTAGTAATCCTAAGTTCGGGTGGCTCGGGTTGCTCAGTATTTGCAAGCCGTTATCAAGTCGACTCGTAACCTCTGATAGCTGAGAGAGTATAGGCCTAGGTCTTTCGGTCTGTCCTCATACGGTTTTGTTGCATCCCAACAACCTCTTTTGTGACTGGCCTCTGAACTTCCTCCAGTGTGTTCGTACCTCTTTTCACTTGTAGTGGAGCGAAGACATTGTCAACATCCAAGTAGGGTGGCATATAAGTCTTGTAGAGCTTCAGAAATAGCTCTGGGGTGAGGGCAGTTAGTCTTTTGCGCACAAAATGTAGCACACCGAATGTTTTTGAGGCGTCACCTGGGTAATAGGAACTGGTATCAGTTTCCCCCCCACCGGTAAACCCAGGTCTCTTTCCACTGTGTTATGGGATGAACGCAAACCACAGAGAGAATGGGAAACTTTATGGAGATCACGAGAGCGAAAATTATGGATTGGCACTTATCCAGGTTAAATGGCAGTTCGTTCTGTCCTGCTCATTCCTGTGGGGTTCGGAGGTCGTTGTGCAACGCACTGGATTTCACTTTACAAGTTACTGCCCTCCATAACTTGACGTCATCAGCGTAGAGGGGAATCGGAGAGCCGACATGCAGCGGGAGGTGATTCACAAACAGTAGGAACAACAGTGGCCCAGGATTGCAGTGTTGGAAGAGATTACAGGGTGGGCCGCTTGGGGTACTGTCTTTCAACACATGGGTGAATGTCGTTGCACCCTGGGGATTTTTCCGCGCTTAGCCTTGAAAGCTTGTCGGGAACAACAGCATGAGTTATCTATACTTTGTGTAGCTGCAGTGCCGGATAACTTTGTGGGCTGTTCGTGCAGTTGGCGTGCGCACTTTCCTGGTGGAATATTGAGCTGTGTCAAATGTGGTGCCTAACATTTCGGCGATCTCCTGTGCAGAGAAGTTTCCTCTGCTCAGGCCTTTCATGACCCGTTCTTCTTGGCTTGTCGAGTTTCTCTTCGACATGAATCGGCATAAGTTTTTGAGGTGTACCTCAATCTTCTTGACTTGATTGGACTAGAACGGCCTCCTGTCTTCCCGCACCCTGATGTTGCATCTTTTTTTGTAGAGCTGTGTATGCGTCGTGATCGTCCTCTTCTCCGGTGAGTCTCCGCTTGTGCCATGCCCTTCCCTTTGCTTTTAAAGACTCTCAGCGCCTCGTTTTGGCCATGAGGTCCACTTTCTGGGTGCTGTTTCCACCGAGCGGAGGTTTTGAGAGATCGTTGCCTTAATGATGTCTCTTACTAGTTCCCAGTGTCGGTCAACCGATGAGAAGCAGCGGTCCACTGGCCATGAAGCTCTTGATGGGCAGTGGTTCATTCCTCCATAGTTTGCCCTGTTGTAACAGGTGTGAGGGCGAGACCCCCCTTGATAATTTTCCGCTGATTACCAGGCCGAACACTACCGTAGCATGATCCCTGCTTCCAAGGGAAGTTCGGACACAGACTTTTTAAACCAGAAGGCGCTCACTAGTCAGTGAGCAATCCGGTTCGGATGGTCTTCCGTCTGACCCCCAGCGGGTGTTGTCCATAGTTCATTAACGCAGTCCTGCCATTCGGATGGCATTTAGCAGGTTACAATCGATCTTCCAGCCCGGAGTCGTGCCTCCCTACTGTAGGTTGAGTTGGAGCGTTGAAATCGCTAACAGTTAGGACACTGTGGATGTTACTTGGAGTAATTTTTGGTTGTGTTCCGCGTTGCCATTGGAGGACCTATAGATTTCTCAGAATAAATACTTGGTTTGTTTGACCGTGAAGTGGCACCAGATGGAGTCTGGGAGCTCTGTCAGTACCGTCTCAGTGGTTTGTTCACTTCTGAACTAACTTTCCACGTATATTGCAACTCCTTCTCCGTCCTTGTGTCCTCTATCCCTTCTGAATAGAAACATGTCATCTAGGTTAACTTTGGTGTCGCAAACGTCCGGTGACAACCATGTTTCTGACAAGGTTAGGATTTTCGGAGCAAGGTCGGAGCAGAAGGACAGGAGCTCTGATATTTTACTTCGGAGTCTCCTCACGTTGATGCAAAGACACTTGAAAGTGCTCCTCGTAACGTGAGACGCCTCTGCATCAACTAGCGGCGCGGATTTGAATGTGAGGGTTTTTACCGACTGGCCAGTCCCAATGGAACCGGCCCAGTTAAGTATTTTTCCGGGTTGATTGGTGCAGTCGGTGATAGGTGGCGGTAAAAATGGTTCAAATTATTGCTGACGGAATAAAGGCAACTTCGGCTTGGCTGGTTTACGCATCTGAAGTTCGCAGATCATTACTTTCTATGGTTGTTAACCTGTACAATTAGGCGGAGACCAACCAGATCAAGCCCACATCTGAAGTTGCTGTCAAGGCGGGGTTCAAAAGTTTCAGATTTCTGTTTTTTTCTTCAGGAACTAAGGCTATAAGCCCACATTAATATTCTTCCTGTAGATTTCTGTGCCTGGCCAGTCCTCTTTTCTGGATGAGTCAGCTGATGATGCGGACACCGCTTCTTCTGGGGGTCGGTTCAACTCGAGTTAAATACTCGATGCGAGAACCAGCACTGTGCATAGACTGCGTTCATCCCTTGCTTTGTATCCTCCCGCCATATTCTCCAAGGTTTCTTGACCGAGTAAGAAGAAAAGGGATTATAGATCAGGTCCAAAGTCATTTCTTAGAATCCTGTAAGGTATGATTAGATCACCGCTCTGTACGCGGTAGGGTAAAGAGAAGGGGGTCAGCCTCCTGAGTCGGTCTTCACAAACGAGGACAGCTATCACAGAAACCACAGAGATGACCACCTTTGGAACTCTTTTCCGAAGGTCCGAGTCAGCTTCCAGACAAGGACTTGTAGCCTGCGTATAGGCTTCCAATTTAGACGCAACTAAGGATGTGTATAAGACGATGAACATATCGCCCTTTATCTTTGTAAACGTTCCGCGTAATGGCTGGAGTATCCGAAAATCTCGAGCTGCAGCCAGCCAACAGCGTGCCATCGTCTTCAAATCAGAACTCACCGTGACCCCCACGTCATTGTGGGTCAGTACTGAGGGAAGAGGTGTAACGGGAAATTGATCTGAAAATCCCTCCTGATCATCCTTATTTGGTTGTATTGACATTTATCTTAACATTTTTACCCTCGTTATGGATGGCGTACCTTTGACCCTCGCCGGTGTAATGTTATTTGCTTGTTTAACTGTCTTATTTGACTTTACGCTCGGTATTTGCCTTTGTATGTTTGAGACTTATTATGAATGTTTCACTTTCCTATTATGTGACGCTGGACTTCTGACAAGGTGATGTTGTTTTACTGCGCCCGACATTTTGTTTTGGTTCAACTTATGGTTGTGCAGTGATTTGACTGTTTGTCTTTTGACTGTCTACTGGGAACGTTTGTTTGTTGATTTGATTCCTGTAGGCAGAGTTTTGATCCCTTTTGCCGGGATTATTCCTATTGACCGACAGGTACTTAACAGTTGTATTTTTTAACCAGTTTTACCGTGTAGTACGTATTTGTACCCGAGAACGTTTTGGACTGTGTAGTTACCCAACGGCACTGTTGAGGTATTTTTGTAATTTGACATAACTTATTGTTGCTTTGATGGTACCACATATTTGTTACGAATCTACTACTGAATTACAAACCGTGTTTTGATATTTTGATCCAACCTTTGACTGTGCGTCACTCGCGGAAGTTTGGAAGCTATATAGTAGAACGCAGGAACTAGTCAGATTCACGTCAGTTGGCACCGCGTAGTTATTTCCCGCGTTCAGGCCAAGATTATTGGATTCTGGCCGCCACAGAGGAGTCCATCGATGTCGTAGGTGTTGCCATGTGTGTGCTCGTAGTGCACGATCGCACATTTATCTGAGCTTATAGGCATCGGCAACTACCCCAACCACGCAAACAAGCTGTTTAGGTTTGCCTGAAGTGATCGTATACCCCCGGCATCCCCATCTTCCCGCCAGAATTCTACACCATCAGCGTAAAGAATCGTAGGAGATTTCGTGATGTTTAGCAGCTCATTTGGAGGAGAAATGGCAGGGGACTCAAGACGTCGCCTCGCGTCACCCTAATCTTTACTGATTTCCTGGAGGAAAGTTGAGGATCGATCCACACTCTTTACCTCCTATCAACAAAGAATTATCTTCTCCAGGCAAGCAGGTTGCCAGCGATTCAAAAACTTTATAGTTTCTATACAAACCCGGAATGGGGTACCTTGTCGAGCGCCATACTAAAGTCTGCGTTAATGTTATCCACGGATGTCCCATCACCTCTAGACTTATTCCAACTTTTCTTGGATGTATGGAGGTTTGCCATGCACAGAAAATTCCCGCGAAAGCCATGCTGCGAATGAGACACCATAGTATTGCTCCCTAGTGAACCCCGGTGGCTCTCTTCATTGCACTTTGTATGAGTTCAACTGTGTTGCTGGTCAAAACTATCAGTCGGCGATCCTGTGGGTGTTGTCAGAAGTCTGGGCGAAGACCTCGGCAGAATACTCAGCTACATCTGCATTTTGCCTATTGTCTATTATTAAATAGTCATTTTCTGTCAATTGCTGGGCTGGGTACAAGAAAATAAACTTTTTGAATGTTGTGCTGCAGCCTAGGCTAGGTGTGTTTCGAAGAGTACTCGAGGCCGGTAGAAAGCAGCTGTACATTTATTTCGGGATCCCTGCTTCGCCACCTCGGGAGTGGTGAGGTGGGTGACAAGACTCTAATACCCTCACTTGCGTCAGTTCAAGATTCGGATTTCGAGGCTTATCCACGGAGGACATGTTTCCATTCCCTTGGCACGGTCCACTGAATGAAGGGTTGTGACACTCATAATTACCTTTGTTTCAAAGGGCCCCTGCACCTTCAGCCGAGTATTCCATATCGACTCTCCAGTCCTCTGAAGAGGATGCCGAGTTAATAGCCACTGTATTCGCTTTTCGTACACAGGGCTTGGCCGGAGCATCGGTCTGGTGCAATACAGCTGGAGCAAATTTGAGGATTATAGCGGCATCAACATAGTTTTATCGGACTGCAAGATGCTGAGTGAAGCTTACATCAGCTGTGTGTGAAAACAGCAAGTCTAGAGTTGATGAAAGATGCTATAGACCATGTCTGATTTCTACCCTAGTGTGCTGTATAAAGGCCAAATGATCTTACGTTCCCACCAAGCCATGGTCAAACGAGTTACGTGACGCTTCTGTTAGTCTGTCTGGTAGACCGATAGTTCTTTGGAGTCTCCCAAAACGAGGTGTCGGCAGTTATCTGCCCATAGGGTCCTCTGCCTCACATGCTAGACTTTAATTCGGTGAATATCTTGTCCCTTGCATTTTAGTCAAAGCATAGGATTTAACATCTTCCACTTTCATGTGCGACCGTTTCTATGGCTCCTACAGGTAAGGTGTTCTTAACTCAAAGCCAGGCATCACTATCTGTATGTGCTAACTCATCACTTTTAAAAGGAATGAATCCTCATAAATATATGTCACTGTCACTGATCTCAGAAGGGAAAACAAGTTTCTGAAACAGCATTTATCTCAGGACTTCTTAGGCTTCGCAATCATTTGTTGCTGAAACATCACCACACGGAGACCTACTGTTTCTAGATTTTGCTCTCCTGCTTCTTATCGCGACCCTGGTTCTTATTCCAGTACCATCTAACCAGCAGTCAAATGTAAGGTTCTCTTGTTCTCTCCTCCAGTATGATAAACTTTGTGAAATCATTGAGGATGAGGAAAATCAGCTAATGCTCCCTGGATTAGCATGAACGTACTTTGCTTTGAATAACAGAAAACGCTTTAACTGTAAATGAGAATATTTGTTATTGAAAAAAGTGTTTATATCAGTCATTTTTAATACACTTCCAGGTCACAGAAACTCCACTTTACAAACTCGTAAGGTGATGTACATATTCGAAAACCTGAATTGGGATGGGAAATATGACAAGCACCTTTTTCCTACAGGTAAGCTTTCTCAGACTTTTCGATATGGAAGATGATATTGCTAAAGGCCTTAACTGTCCTGCCTCTGACACCATTCGCCAAGGAATTTCAGAGAAAATATGTGTTCATTGTTTTGTGGCGGGTCAAAATGCAAGTATTGCAATCCTCCCTTGTTTTTTGATGATACGGAAATGCATATTGATGGCTTGTATTCAACCTGGTATTTGAAATAATCATAACTTGATTAAGGGTTACACAAAACATTTTGGCATCATCTCGACCAAGTGAAGAACTGTTAGACAGGTACAAAATCATTGATCAGTTTGAAAAGTATAAACAATAATAAAATTATGTTTTGTCGAAGAGTCAATATATGCTCGATATTTAACATGCAAATGCCTGGAGAACATAATAGTTGTGGCTATGGTGTACTTAGCTCTGGATTTTCATATGATCCAGTTAGATTTATGCGAAAGAACAGTGAGTTTGTCTTCATCTAGAAAAGTGAAGAGTAGTTTTTTTTTACAATTTTAGCTGGTATGTCCTATTTTACACCACGCCTATCGGTATTTAAAGGTGTGACTATGGAGTTGGTTCACTTCATTTTATTTTGGATGCTGTTGTAGTTATTCAGTTTGCAATTATAAAGGGGAAAATTGTTGTGCACTGTCATGCTGGCCTAGGTTTGTTGACATAAGTTCTGAAATATTTTCAGGTAGAACTGGTGTGATCATCGCCTGCTACTTAGTATTCAATAATCGTATTTCAGCTGCTGAAGCTATCCGATACGTCAGATTTAGAAGGTTTTGCTAAATTCGCGTAACAGTTAATTTTTCAGACCAGGGTCTATACAAACTCAGTCTCAGGTTGAAAGCATATATCAGTTTGAGAAGTTTTTGTATCTTTATCGAATAAATTTTGGGTCATAGTAAGTAGTCTGAAAAATTATCTATAAAATGAACAAGTGAACAGTTCAGCTTATGCATATTCCTTCAACGACAAACGCTTTGTTCCACGGACAAGAGAGGCGAAGGTTGAGAAATGTCCCCAAAGTGAGTTAATTCTTTCAAACATTTATTTTTAAGTTGTTAGTCGCTAAGTGAATGGTTTTTAAATCAACTGTTATATCCTCTGAGTTCTTTATACTTTCATGAATTATAGTAATGATAACCTCATATAAACCTCTTTGATCAAAAGTCTGAACTTACGATGCCTATTCCTGTAGTACTATTTTGTTAATTGGCATCATCTATTGAAATCGGCCATGCGACTTCTTATTTTTACCGTAATCAGACAAGCAGGAAATGCAAGAAACCAAACGTCGACTTCACTATCCTTGACCCAGACACATAAAAACTATATTTAAACCACTTCCTAATGAAGTCCACACTATTGTAGCGTCATAAACTCCCCAAAATCAACAGTCTAGGGTTTGACGAGATTCAGTATTGATGCTGACCTTGATAGTTTAACTGGACTCGCTAAGCTGAAGGCACCCAGTCAAGCATCCTCGCCATTTGACACGCTGTCGTGTTACGTTGCACTGCTCGTATTCGACTCTCTAGCCCGTTAGTTGGAACGCATCGGTATCTTGGCACAACCACCCAAATATAATATTCCATCCGACTACGCTATCATGTCCTTCCTTGGTCTTATATTCGTGGGTATATAACAAGTTCGAATAATTAGTGATTATTCTTTGCGTCTGTCAAGTTCGCACCAGGACAAATCCTAAACTATTTTATAACTAGTAAAGTTAAAGATATGCATAACCATCGTGTAATCCATGATTATTTCAGTATTCCTAATTCATTTATGCAATACTTTTAGAACCATCGAATCCATAGGTAGGAGACTAGTTAAACAAAAACAAATCCGATCTAATAGATTCAATATCGGTTAGGCTGTGTTTACAGGTTTAAGAAATTACGTTTTTACCACAACTGAAAGCTATAAGCTTTTTAGCTTAGATTTATTAAAATCGGTCAATATCCTAATTGGGACAAGAACAACATTCAGAAGAAGTTAGCTTACAGTTTTATCGCTCCATGAAAGTGCAAGTATGTGGCAACATTGCCTCTTCACTATTATTCGCACCAAATGGAAATAATTCAAATTACAACACAGGTTTCTGTCTTCAGGAGACCAGCATAACCATACCACAGGGGTATCAAATCGACGGTTTAAAAGTGATTTGGGCGTCAATAAAAATCTCAGTTAACTAGAAAGATAATTTTTCGAACAAACGAAGTGGCAAAATGTCCAAGCTCATACAATATATCAAGGCAAAACTTCTAATTTGCTTATGGTTTAATAATAGTTGCTTTACTCTAAAACATTTCTTTGTGTGCTACTGTGAAATGCAGTGACTTGGATGGATACTTTAATGTGCTACGTTCCACGTCGACTTTTGTGTCTATCTGCTTTTGATTTTTTCCTAAGAAGTATATGCTGGCCGTTGGTACTTGGCTTTAGCCTCCACAACATACAGTAAGAAATACTTTTCTTCCAGCTTCCGGAAACTCCAATTTCAGGTATAAGAAAAGGTCTTCTATAATTAATAATATGTGGTACGGTGTTCTGAGAAACTTGAATCACGTAATTTGCCCATCGATTCATAGAAAATATGTTGTACAAGTGTAAATATATATGACTGAAAGTTTAATTTTTTTTTCATACCTTTCATAAAATTGGGGTAGGAAACACCGGTAGAAATGTCACAGTTTTTTCACTTTGCATTTACGAAACCTTCGATACGTGTGCTTGCTTGGATTGATTAGCTTATTTTACGACCTACTCACAATTTTTACTCCAAATCGGTGAAATAATAATCAATTCGTACCTAGAAGTACTGAGGCGGAAGTCATGATACGTCATGCTGAGATTTTAATATCGAAGTGTAACCTAAAAGTTTGAAATTCGGTTGTAAATGACTCTCTTATAATTAAAAGGTGCAAGAAGTAACTAAAATCCTCACCATGGAAATTAAACGGACAATACGTGTCCGCTTTACAACGTTTTTAATAACCAAAAGAAGCAGATGAGTTTTAAACATCCACCTTATAAAATATGTTCTATTTCTTTAACAAGACAGCGATGATGATTTCGAAAAAAACAGGAGTCGTCTGCAAATTACACTTTTATTTACAGAGAAAAAAAGTCACGATTTACTCATAACCTAGACAAACAAATAATGATGCAATTTTCATCTCTCTAAACCCCTATCTATATGAGACGTTTCCAAGCAAAAGATTTATGGATTCTAATGATTTAGTTATCTTTTTGTTGTCTGCTTGCATAAAACTGATCGACCGATTGCATATAATTTTTATCGTCCCACTCTTTGTATGGCATCTCGTTATCTTGTGCTAGTCTACTTATTCTTCTATTCAATGAAGCAAATATCAGTTCAATTAGTTGAATTTCTGGACGTACCGTTTGATTTCTCTGTAGAATTTCAGCTGAAGGATGGGTCAAATATTAAGGAACTATATCTATCTGACATCGGGGTAAGAAACCTGGTTCTCAGTACGTAGACTTGAATCCAATCCAGTTTTACTTAGCTTTATATATGACCTGATAATAATTAACTATTCAAAAGATTACTTGTAGCTGGGTTTACTAATGCCACTATATATATATATATATATATATATATATATATATATATATATATATATGGAAAATTAGTCAAGTTGGTCGATTACTATGCTTTTTTGTGTTTGTTTATTCATTCATTCACCGCCAGAAAGAACTGATTGTTCAGGAAGCTTCTGCGATTAACAACGACTCTCACGCAGGTCTCTGAAGTCATGAAAACAGGTATTTTTTAAAATACTGAAATAATGTCAAAAACTCAGACTCTACGGAGGTAAATTTCGATAATATCACTTTTATCACGTGCTAGCGTACATTTGTGACACTATTTCTAGGTTCTAAAATTCATGTAAGTGGTACTGTTTGAACTGACAGTAACCTGTCTACTAATCCTTGCAGCATGAAGCACGTAACACGTTCGCGCTCATGTGACTAGTTCACTGCGTTAACGTATACATCTATCTATATTGTATTTGGGGGTTTGTGGGAATTTAGAGATATTTCAAGTCGGTATTCATCATGGACTGACATCAGTGGGAGGAACGATGGAAACGTGGGAGCACTGGATAGCTGTTTTGGGACCTAGCCAGTTCATCAATGGCGTATCCCGTCAAGTTGAAGTCACCTAAAGTAGGTAGCTGACTTCAACAGACTGATGTCCCTTAAATCGGATGATCAGCTTTCAAGTGGTTTGCGAATTGCATGGTCCAAATTGAAAGTTCTCGCAGTTAAGTAGTTTTCAACTGCGAAATTATGGTGTCAGCAGGCTTTCCGCTGGAAACTACTGCGTCATGAACTAAAGAAATGTACTACTGAGGACTTTGAGTAACTAGGGACCACAGATTTGTTCAATGATAAAAAACACACAAGGGTTGTTTATCATGCCACACCGAAATGGAATCTGCAAATCAAAGTATTTTCCAATCAATGTAGGTCGGTAGTCTATTGTACCAGTACATGACAATATTTTTACATCACAGCTTACAAACTGAGATCCTTGTTGAGAGGTTTTCAATAAGAAAGTTGTCTGCGCTGTAATTATATAATCAAAAATCTATTCAGTTGTGAGAAATGTAAACGTGGAGTGAAATATTTTCAAATTATTTGTGAATAGCCAGTCCTGATAAACATGCATTTAAAAAATATCTGAAAAAGTTCTAATTTATGTATGGGTGTTTTAGGCTTCTAGATTTAATATAAATGGTTTTGAATTCTTTCAAAAAGACTAGTCTTTTTAATTATCCCCAGAAATCAACCACTTATCAGTTTTAACGTCTACGTTTACTAAATAGACGATGACAATAAATAGGAGGGGAGTCAAAAAAGCTGTAGGATAGTTTCAATTTGCTTTTATGACTATCATCTGTTGAAAATAATATGTGGGATCTAAAATAGTTTAGTATTTGTTATTACGAATTCGCAGT